GTCGGGGTTCAGGGGTCGTGCGCGGTCTTCAGAACAGGCAGCGGGCTGGGAGCGGTCGCCCCGAGCTCCGCGTGGACACAGCGGGGACCCTGCCGGGGTCTCACCGCGCTCCCCCGCCCCCCGACCCGAGCTTGGCACAGGCAGCTGAATGAACGAGTGACCGAGGAGAAGGCGCGCGAGGACCGGGCCACGTCTGCGCGCCCCTGCGCCACCAAAGGCCCCCTGCATAGCAGGGGAGGGGACAGAGGGCGAGGGTGGGGCGGGGCTCGCTCACTCGATGATCCGCTCCTTAGGGTTGAAGGGGGACAGGGAGTCCAGGCCCAGCCGGCTCACCACCTGGAAAGGGGGCACAGAGGTTGGAAACGACTCGCCTCGTGCATGTCCAACCCGTGCTGAGGGCCGCCGCGGGGAGGCCATGGGATGTGTGGTTCCTGCCCCAGCTGGCAATGGCCTCCCTGCCCTGAGTAAGTTGGGCCTCTTCATGGGGAGCAGGTTGATGCTGACACACACCCAGCGCCCTGTACAGACGCATCAAACCACTCTGACTTACCCCACGGGGAAACTGAGGCCCAGAGAGAGGAGCTGCCCACTGGTGATCCCTCAGCAAACTAATCCTCATTTCTCCGATAGAGGACACCACACTCTCAGCCCCTTGCTGACAGGGGCTAACAGAAAACCGCCTCTTTGGACAAGATTTTAATTCTTCAAGTGTCAATGTCTGACAAGTTCTTAAAGTCTAGGAACAGCCCTGAATCACCTTGTTACACAAGGAAATAACAATAAACCTTGCTATGTGAGGAAAAGTGAATTTTACTTAAATTCAAAATAAAGTTGTAACAATCCCCATTTAAGGTTAGAATTCATTCTGCCAAAAGCCATTAAAAACACTTCATGGTGTTCTACGCCAGTGACTCAGTCTCTGCCCATTCTGAGCCAAACAGGCCCCTGCTTTCTACAAAGAGTAAAAAGTGCTGCTTGAGGGGGACAAACCACGGGGGTCCCACAAGGTGGTCTTGGAAACTAGGGTAGAGAACACCTCTTAACAGACTGAAGAATCAGCAAGCAGAAAGGCAGAACCCTCCTGGCGCAGAAAACCTCAGAAAGGTACATAGAATTTTTAAAATCAATTTAAATGCAAGGCTAAGCTGGCAGAAAGTAATGGAAATCACTCAAAGCCAGAAATTACCAGAAAGGTGAATCCAGAAAGGCCTGCCAGCCTTGAAGCTGGGCCCACCCTGGGGACAATTCACGCCCTCTAGCAGCCCCTTATGACTGGGGGAGGTCTAGGGCCTTCAAAGAGTGAGGTTAGACTGGAGACCCCTGAAAGGACAGAAACAAACACCCCCTAAAGGAAATAGTTGGAATTCTCCCCAGTCCCTGTCTTCCCTTTGGGTGAAGCAGGAAAAAAAATCTCTCCTGGGAATTCCTAACCATAGCCACCCTGGCGGGGTTATGGGCCGCAGCAGAGATAGAATCACTACCTGTGTGGTTCCAAAGCTCCAAGCACAACACTTAGCTTCAAGTGGCCCTGTGTAGTGGTGTCCCTAAGCTCCTAAGAGTCAAGCACACACCCTCTTTGGAGGAGAAAACTAAACCCAGGTATCCGAGAATTACCACATAAAATCCCAAAGAACACACACTGGCAATAAAATCTCAAGACACGTGAAGCAGTGGGTCACCATGAGGACGGCAGAAAGAACAGCTCGCCAGACCAGACCTTCAAAGACGGCAGATACCAGGGCTTTCAAGGAAAGAACGTAAAATAATATGTTTAAAAGTAGAAAAGAGCATCACATATTAATAAGGTATGAATAAATGTGGGAGAAGCGAATGCCTTTTCTTGCAAAGAAAGGATGAAGTCAGAAAATGTCACTGGCTGCTGAAACTTGTGGCTGGAATTTCAGGAGGAACAGGGTACTCACGTGTTCCTCAAGTGCCCCCCACAGAGCAGTCGTTAACTGCAAAAGAAAAAACAGCACTGCAGCAAATAGCCCTGGGAAAAGGGACACCCCCGTACCCGAGTGGTCAAACTGAGCTCGTTGAAGTAAATGGGCAGCGTGGGCTTCCTGAGGCTCTGAGGACACCGTCACTGTGCCGTTCCTGCCAAAAATGTGCTACACGTCTAGTCAGGAGTGACATCAGACAAGTCCTCAGGGAAGGACGTTCTACAAAACAATTGGCCTGTGCTTCTGAAGCACATCAAGGCCAATGAAGGAGGAGGAAGACCAGGGAACTGTTCAGATTAACGGAGGTGAGAGACCTGACGACTAGGTGCACTGTGAAGTCTGAGTCGGACCCTGGACTGGAGGACAAGACGCTGTGGTGGGAGTTATTGGGACATCGATGTGGTCTGATTATGGTCTGAAGATTAGATACTACAGTTATATTAGTGTTGAGTTTCCTGTTTTGATCATTGTACCATGGTTATGTAAGAGAATGTCCTTGTTCTTAAGAAATACACCCTGAATAAATTAGAAATAAAGGGACACGGCGTCTTCAGCCTACTCTCAAAAAATAGTCCAGAAAAAAACCAGTCTGTGTGGGAATAGAGAATGATAGAGTAGATGGGCAGCATGCAAACTAGCAGTCCGTCTGGCTGCAGAACTCGAGGGAGCTCCTCCTGCCACTCTTGTGCCTTTTCTGTGAGTAGGAATTATGCAAAATAAAAAGTTACAAAAAATATTCTAACAGGCAGCAATAGAACAGACTTGACTGTAAACCATGTCAGCAACTTAGAAACCAGGTTTGAGAAAACTGCAGTGAATGTGAGGGGAAGAAAAGGTGGAGACGGTAGAGAAAAGATAGAATATGTAGAAGACAGAAGATGACGCTGCAATACAATCGGTGTCCCTAAAGTTGAAGAAGCAAATAACTGGATCACAGATGTAATAGAAGAAAAAATTCTTGAAACTAAGCAAGAATGGACTCTATAAATCACAAGAAGCACTGCTCTAAGAAAACAGTAATGAGAATAATCAACACTGAGACATACCCAGTGGAGCTACTGGATTTTAAGGATAAAGAAGGAGTCCTCAGGCATCAGGAAGAAAGAACAAGTTGCCTGGGGTGGGGGACAACCCGCTGGCCTTAGATACCCACACCACAGTGATATTTAATTCCAGAAGATGATAAAAATATGTTTGCTATGTTCCCAGAGAAAAACAGGTGACTTAGAATTGTGGTCCTCCAACTGTCTTGCAGGAATAAAATCACGGAAAGATTCCCAAACTCATCAGAACCCACAGAATAAAGCCTGTGAGCCTTTCTCTAAAAACCTGCTCGACTGTGAAATCCAGCCAACAAACAGATGAGTAACCAGGATGGCCCGAAGGGATGGGGATGCATATTGATCTCATTATACAGCTAAGATTACATCTCTGTGGGTATTTAATATGTTTAATAAATGTGCTTATGGTTACAGGAGACAAGTGTTGTAAATTAGATGATGTAAAAGTAGCAACACAATTTAACTCTGGAGCAGAGGCATCCACTAAAGTGCAGTGTGCTGCGTTCTTGTCTTTCTTCACCAGGAGTCAACAGACCTTGTCTAACGTTGATATAACAAGAGCTAAAGGATTACGTGTATTGTTTAAACTTGAAATTTTAACCACCGAAAGGATCCCTTCCCCCCAAAACCCTATAACTTCAAAAAGCCAGGAGATAGAGAAGGAAGAAAAGATGTTGTAGAGTAAGCAGGACTGAAGTCATGCTGGGACCTAAACTGCATGGGCTGTAAAAGATTTTAGAAGGACACAGTTTTTTTCTTGGCGTGCATTTCTCTGAGTTCCCTTTTTTCCCATGGTTGTTTGATATTTTGAACCTGGGTTATGGGGCAAGATGACATTATTTACATGAATGTAAAGTTGTCCAGTCAGCCTAGAGCTGCAGACTTGCATGTACCATCCAGACCCTGGAAACCAAGGAGGCCATCAGTAAAGCAGTGCTGATTCCACCCTCCAGCAGGACCCTGAGACAACAGCAAGGACGGGAGCAGAAGCCAGACGGAGCCTCCGCAAGACCTTGCATCTGGCTCCCTGCACGAAGCCCCCGCAGTTCACATCCCCGCTGTCCTGCTTTTCATTTCCACCTTCCATTCCCTCCTCCCCCTCTTTAAAACACCTCAGGAAACCTGAGTCTTGGAGATGGCTTTAGCCTGGCTTCTCCTTTAGGTTTACCTGAGAGATGGGTCAGCCCATCATCTCTCCTCAGGTCACTGGTGTTCCTGAATAAAAGCTGATTTCTTAGTCTACCAACATTTGGCTTGTTTTTGAAAGGGGACAGGCAGCCGGGCCTGTGCCCAGTGTCAGTGCGAGTAAATAATCTAACCCTAACCCTAACCCTGTGTGTTTATTTCCTTGTTTTCATAGGCAGTGTACTCTGAAACTGATAAATCAAGAAAAAGTAGACTCTAACCCTTCCATATAAACAGGAGGAAACCACACCCCAGGCCCCCACATACCTGAAATAAGGTGAGAGAAGTAAGTCCATACATATCTGCTAAATGAGTAACTCCACACGGGATAAGCTCAGCTACCAAAAGACAAAGACTTTCCTAAGAATCCAGTCACGTGCCTACTGTGAGGAGCACACCAAAAACAGAGACTCAGAAAGGCCTGGGGCGAGCGTGGCCACACCTAAGCAGGACCTGGCCCAGCAGGAGCCTACACACAGGGGACTTGAGGCCAAGGCATCAGGAGGCACACAGAGCAACTTTCTAGAAGAGCCGTCAGTGGGGATGGGGATCGAAGTCGCGTAGTACATGCCCCAAATCCATAAACCCAGTTCCAGGAAAAGCAAGGTGCGCCATGGGAGTATGGCTGGTCCAGGAGACCAGAAAGGAGAGCAGGAAGGACCCTGCAGAAAGGTGCACCATCCCTAGTCATTGGAAGTCTTACAAGAATTGAACATATTATAGGTCACAAAGAAAACCTCAGTCACATCCCCAAAATGAAAAGAGTATGACCACATCTTCTAAACACGAGTGGGGGGATGGGAGGGGAAGAGGAGGAGAAGGGGGGGAGGGGGATCGGAGGGGAGGAGGAGGAGGGGCAGCAGGAGGAGGAGGAGTGGGGAGGCCTGGCCCCATGGATGGGGTCCGAGCTGAGGGTGTGAGCCTCAAGCACCCGAGACCCCTCGTGCCCCCACCCGACCCCCTCCTCAGGAGCCCGGCGCACCAGCCTGATCCGCTGCTCTTCCTCCAGGATGAACAGGTTCTCCTTGTCGCAGTAGAAGGCGGCCGCATCCAACAGAGCCTTCAGAGGCACCAGGCCCACCAGCTGCGAGCCCACTACCGGAAGGCTCAGCTCCTGCAGGTGTGGGCAGAGTCAACACCCTGGGGGCTGGGCTCGAGAGCGCCCTGGCAGGTGGGACCGCCCTGCTCACCTGTGCTTCTCGGCAGGTCTCCTCGTAGACTGTGTGCAGCGCTGTGACCTCAAAGTCCAGCAGGTTCATGGACACCTGAGCCAGGTTCTTCTCATCCAGGTACCAGCCAATGCCCTGAACCTTTTTCAGACGTCCTGGCTGCAAAGGAAAAGCATTTCCCAGCCTGGCTTGAGCAGCTCACCCACCCCGGCACCAGCACAGAGAGCCACTTGCTCCTGTGTCTGCCCCCCCCCCCCAGCTGGACGAGGGTCCCGGCGTGGCCTGCAGATTCTGTGTCTCGGGGGCTGTGCGGTGGTTTGTAGGGGCATCTGGGGAGGCTGAGGAACTGGAGGGATGCAGGGACACACCAGGGGTGCCTCGGTCACCTGAGGCTCAGGAAGCAGCTATTTTCCCATCAGTGTGGAAATGCTGTGCTATTTTAAGAACAGTGCAGCCCTGCCTGCTTCCACAGCAAGTGCCCTTTACAGCAAGGGCTCCCAGTTTCACATACTCAAACCCCCAACCCTGCCCCCTCCCACTCAGCACTGCACTAAAGCTGAGCTGGTCAGCAGGCCGGAGGCCAGGCCCCACCCTCCCAGCAGGCCCTGTCCTCTGTCTCAGCTCCTGATCCTCTCCCGAGGGCTGCTGGGGATTTGGATTCCGGGGGGCACAGGGGGCTCGCTGGCTGTGCTCACCTGGTGCTCCCCGGCTGTGCTCACCTGGTGCTCCCCACGGCCCTGCTCCCGCAGGTTGAGGGCGATGCGGTGGGCCTGCTCCTTGGTACCCAGCAGGTTAACATTGAACGCGATGAGGAACTTCCGAGCCCCTGTGGCCGTGGCCCCCCAACGGGGGACAAAGGAGCTGGGGCCAAAGTCAGGCGCCCACTCAGGCTGCTTGAGCTGCAGGGAAATGCATGGGTGAGACGTCCTCACAGGAGGGGCTACCCCGCGGGGTCCGGGGAAGGAGGGGCCCGGGCCCACCCTCCTCCCCACACCCAAGCGCAGAAGGGCACCTTCTCAGGCAGGGCCTCGTACTCCCCAGCCCGGATGGCCGGCAGGGTCCGGCGACTGGCTGTCCGCGCTGCCTCGCCGTAGAGGTACACTGAAGGGGAGCCTGGCAGTCAGCTGCTGGACGGTCTGGAACCCCCATTCCCAGGAGGGCCCAGACAGCCTCATCCTGGAGGACAGGCCTCCCGCAGCCCCCATCTCACTGGGGAGCACCCCGTCTCTGTGCCTCTTGGGGTGGAAGTGGGTGGTCGCTGGTGGACACTCAGTATGATCAGCTCCCCTCTGAACCCCTGCACAGATGCCCAGGGAAAAGCCGCAGTTTGGAGGGTTACAATCAAATGTGTGGGGAATGCTGATGGAAGGAGCTTATGTTTCTTTTTAAGATGCATTTGCATTTAAGATAAAGATAACCACAGGTGTGGGAACATGGAGAAGAGAAACAAAACTGACCCTACACAGCTATGAGTGTCGCCATGCACAGGATGGGTACCCCAGCCACACATTAGCCTGTATTTACGTGGCAGCAACTGGCTGTGGCTGGATTTCACTCAGAGTCACCCATGGAGGGCTGCCCACTCTGTGGCCTCCTTGTGACCATGCTGACAGGCTGGCTCTGTCCCCAATTTGTCTCCATTTGTTCTGTATTACTCCTCAATTTGGTTGATTCCCCAGTGTGAAATTATTCTGTTTCAGAAGGCACGGATCCATCCTGCTACACTGCTTCACAATGTGGTCAGCGGGTTCCCTCTGCCCAGCGACGCAGACGTGGCGTCCCTGGGGGGCCAGCAGGCTGCGCTCTGTCACGGTTTCTATTGGCATTTATATCATAACTGAGGAAGCCTGACGCTTCCCCGCGTGTTAGTTACCTCATGGTAGTTTTTGGTAATGATTTGCACTTTAAGAGTAGTCAAGGGCAGAGAACCGTGGCAGACAGGAATGGAGGCAAGGAGGAGGGTCGGCTGGCCGAGCCTGAGACAGCGCCTCCTGGCGGCTCTCACCAGGTACGTGCAGCTCCTCAGCCAGCCGCTGGCCAAAGGCCTGGGCACACAGCACACACTCGTCCATGCTGACACCGCTCACTGGGATGAACGGGCAGACGTCCAGGGCGCCCATGCGAGGGTGCTCCCCTGCAGAGAGACAGGGAAACCAAGGCAGGAGACTGAGGAAAGGGAGTGGGTGGAGGCTCAGTGAGGCTTCTCAAACCCTCTGTCCCTTCCGGCCCCAACCCGACCAGACCCCGGTCCACACAACCAGCTGCTCACGCTGACCACAGGGAAGGCCCTGGGCGCCCCCAGCTTCACTCTCTGGCCCCCCTGCAGGCAGCAGATCCCCCAGAGGGTTGGTAGGGCACAGTGGTACCACCTGTGGATGTCCGAGGACCCTCCTCATGGCCAGCAAGTGGGAGGCCTCTAAACCCTGGGAGAAGTGTCTTTGGGATAAATCTCTCCCTCTCCTAAGTCACAGAAGTAACTTTCTAAGTGCTGTGAGGCTCTCAGTGAGACGAAGCCAGGCTCCAGCAGCCCGAGACCTCCCTCTCTGGCAGCAGAAAATCCACGCACATTTGCAGAGTGTCCTGACAGTGAGCACAGCCCCTCCCCGGTGGTCAGCTCCCCTCCCACCCCCACCTTTGAGATAAGCCTGTTATCTGCTCACAGTTTGGGTTCACTTGTGAATCCCATCCATGTGCCCCAGCCTTGCTGTGAAACCCTGACCTTTTGACTAGCTCCCGTATGTCCACCGACCTTTGACCCTGCTCACCACAGCCACTGTGTTTGGTTTGTGGGCTGTTGACAGGTCAGTTTCCCTGGGGGGCATGTCCCACCCTTGCCTCCCCCACCAGGGCCTGCTCAGAGAAAGACAGGGTCAAAGAGTGAGCCTCCCGGTCAGTCACTCTTGGTATCCCTGGATTGTGGACGGTGGACGGCGGACTGCAGCTGCGGGACCCTCCCCTCACCCCCCCACCTAGTCGTGGAGGTGGCCTGTGTGTCACCCATGGGGGCTGCACTCACAGCACAGCCCCTATAGCCACACTGGGGTAGCCACAACTTCACAACTCAGGGTCCTCAAGGAGAAGCCTTCCTGCCAGCCCTGTTGAACCCCATGCCCTGTGCCTGTGCCCTGGGCCTGGCCCCTCTCCTAGGACACTTTGGATGTGGACTCAGGCCCTCACGCCCCAGACCCCGCCACCCACCAGCCTCACCTCTGTGCCTGCTCATGTCGATGAGCCGGGAGGCAGCCCGGGCGGCACTGAGGGCCCCCTCCACCACGCACTGTGGCCGCCCCATGAAGGTGTAGACAGTGCGGTTGGTGGAGGATCCCGCATCCACGTCCAGCAGCAGGCAGCCCGGAGTCTGCTTGATGGCTCGGGAGATGGCATCGATCACCTGGAGACACAGCCCAGCCCTCGCCTCAGTTTCCCCACTTGGAAGAAGGAAAAGGAGTTTGGGAGGTGGCTGCACCCCACACCAAAATGTGGGTCTGAGGAGGTGGAGTTGAGCATTGGGGAAAAGCATGCACCCCTGACCAAAGAGCCTGCAGGATGGGCAGTGGTCCGAGGGAGACCCCAGCACACTGGGCCACTGTCACTCCCAGCCCAAGAACAGGGCCCAGCAAGGCGGGCAGCAGGTGACGCCCCAGGAGCAGCTGAACCCCAGGTTCCACTCCCAACAGCTGGGCTCCTGGAGTGGGTTGGAGACAAGCCAAGGTCACAGAGGGCCAGGATCCCTACCCCCTGGCGGTCCCTCAGTGGGAGCATCTGCAACAGGGGGGAGGGGCAGATTGCAAGGGGGGGGAGGGGCCCGAGGTTGGGGGTGGGGGCTCAGAGTCCAGATGCTGTCCTGTGGCTTTTGGTGGCTGCCTGATCCCTCTGTGCCTCAGTTTCCTTGTTGGTTAAGTAGGGGTAATAGCAGTGCCCACCTCAAAAGCCTGCGGGGGGTGGGACTCAAGGGCCACACAGGGGTGACCTCATGTGTGAAACTTCAATGGCCACTGGGCCAGCCCTCAAGACCCCTGTTTCAGAGGAGAGCATGAGGCCCACAGAGGCCCAGTGATCTGCCCAACCCCTGCTGGAAGCACCCAGAAGCCTCCTGGGCTCACCACCAGCCCCTGCATCCCACCCATGCTGGATCAGTCCTCCCGAATCCCCCTCGCCACAGACATGTCTCTGCGGTCAATGGCTGGGGCTCTGCCCACCCTGGGAAGACAGCCCCTCCCCATGCCTAGCACAACGCCACCAGGGCCCCACCTCCTGGTCATTCCCCTCCGAGAAGTTGGGGACACATTCCACCAGCTGAGACATGGCCAGCACCTTGATCTGGACGCTCCTCTCAGGGCAGGTGGAGGGATGGAGAAAGCAGCTCTCTGAGGCCAGCGGGGCCTTTATACGCCTGGCAGCGCCCTCCCCATGGCTGGGCTTCTCATTAACCAGCAGGCCACAGCCAGGAGAGCAGTGGCCCCTGTGCAGACGTGGAGCAAGGGCGGTGCAAAGCAGGGCAGGAGATGCCACCAGGAGGCAATTGCTCCCCCTGAATACAGTGCATGACGGGGCCAAAGGGGCTGGCATGCATACAAGTGTGTGTGAGCACGTGCGTGTGTGTGTCTCAGTCCACTTTCTGCTGCTATAACAGAATGCCACAGACTGGGAGATTTATAAGAACAGACATCTATTTCCTCACAGTTCTGGAGACTGGGAAGTTGAAGACGGGCCAGCATCTGGTGAGGCCTTCTTGCTGCATCCTCCCACGGTGTAAGATGAGAGAGCCAGAGAGAGAAAAAAGCGGCCCAACCCCTCTTTTATGAGGAACCCAATCCCAAGACCACAGCATTCATTCATTCATTCATTCATTCATTCATTCATGAGGAGCCCCCAGGACCCACTCACCTGACATTAGGCGTCACCTCCCAACACCACCAACATAGGAACATTGGGGACACATCAAAACCACAAAAGTGTGTGTGTAAATCAGTGTGCGTGTGTGGATGTGAGTGTGTGTGCACACAGATGTCAGGGTGAGTGGACATGGATGTCTGTCAAGGGTGATGTCTGTCGGGGGTGAGTGCACACACTGATGTCGGGGTGTGTGTGTGGATGTCAGTGTGTGCGTGTATATCAGCGTGCGTGTGTGGATATCAGCAAGTACTGAGTGCGTGTGTGTGTGTGTGGATGTCACTGTGTGTGGATGACAGTGTGTGTGGATGTCAGTGTGTGTGGATGTCGGTGTGTGTGGATGTCAGTGTGCATGTGTGGATGTCAGCAAGTACTGAGTGTGTGTGTGTGGATGTCAGTGTGCGCCTGCTTGTGTGCTGCCGGCAGGGAAGGCAGGTGAGCGAAGGCCCAGCTCGCCCCTCCTGCTGCTCAGGCCATGGCTCCTGGGGAAGGGTAGTAGCTCTGGCCGTCGTGCTCAGCAGGGCTGGCTCTGGCTCAACACTCACCACTACCCACTTGAAGTTCTTGATCTAAAACGGAGGCTGGTGTTTCCCTCCTGCATGCTGCCTGCAGATCACGTGGCTGTCCTGGTTGCATGTGGACACGCTAGTCTTGGGATCTAGCTGTGCCCTGCCTCTTGGGTGCCCTTGACACTCCAGGGCCCCCCCAGAGCAGGTGCACCCCATCTACTGTTTGCTACGGCATCCCCTTTGCTTCCAGAAGCTTATGCAGGGCATTGGCATTTGAAGCCACTTCACCCATGGAAGTGTCAGGGGTGGCCAGAGGGCCTAGGCTAGGAGATGCCCAGATCTCTTGGACCCCCAGCCATGTGGGGCTTGGGACCCCACCTCTCATGTGGACACTAAGGACAACCAAGAGGAGGGTGGGGCCAGATGAGCCCAGAGACCCTCAGAGTCTGGGGACCAACAAAGTCTCCCAACCAGGGCTCTATGTCTGGAGGCTGGAGGGGAGGATGGGATCTGTTGTAGGCTGAGGTGTGTCCCCCAAAATCCATATGTTGAAGTCCTAACACGGAGCACTTCAGAATGTGACTTTATTTGGAGATGGAGCCTTTACAGACGTGATTAAGGAAAATGAGATCATTAGGGTGGGCCGTAATCCAATATGACTGGTGTCCTTGTAAGAAGAGACCAGGACACAGACATGCACAGAGAGAAAACCCTGTGAGGACACAGGCAGAAGACACCATCTGCAAGTAAAGGGGAGAAGCCTCCGGAGGAACCAGCCCTGTCCCACCTTGATCCTGGACTATCAGCCTCCACACCATAAGAAATAAATTCCTGTGGTGTGAGCTCTCCGTCTATAGTATTTGTTATGGCATCCCTAACCGACTAATCCAGGGTCCTCTGGTGGAAGTATTGGGACCCCACGGTGCTGTGAGGACCAAGGCACACCTTGCCCCCCATCAGGTCTGTCCAGAAACTCCAACATCTTTTCCTCATACCCACAGCAGAGAGGGACCAAAGCCTTCTACTCATTGCCAAACCCCAGGACAGTGTCAATGCCAGGCCCTGGCACTCTCACCTGTCAGGTGAGAGAGAAGGAGATCAGGAGGCTCTGGCTGGAGCTGTGTTGAGTTTCCCACAGGGATGATCTGGGCCAGGTCTTGGCCGTAGCTGGGAACACAGTCAAGGACAGGGCCTGTCATGGCACTGGCACCAGTTCTCGGTGTCAATCCTGAGACAAAACTCTGGTAGATGCTATAAATAGCTCCAGAACAGGGGATGGTAGAAGGCTACACCGGGTATAGGAAGAAGGATCTCACCCAGTGCCCAGATCCAGGTTTCTATCAACATTCTCTAGTAACAGGGATCAGGGTCCCAATTCCAGGACTGAGCAGGAATCACACAAGATGGGCCCGGAGCGCTTTGTAGTGTCAGGAAGTGCTTGGATTAAAAAAACCCAACAAACCACAAACTCTGCAATAATGAGGGTATGTCAAAGGGACATGGGAACCCACTGAAAGAACCCCCAAAGCTGGAACGATTTGAGCCACAAGAGAAGTGAAGTAGTATTGGGCACAACCCAAAGTATGAAACAAACATCCATGAGTCCATAAATAAGTGACTGAATAAATAAATAAACGTGGAGAAGAGACAAATCCCATGCAGAAGAATCCCAGACAGCTCATGCCCCTGCTCCTCACATGTGGGCTGTCTCCACGGGAAGCCACGTGGTCTCCCCCACCCCTGCGCTTCCACAGGAGCCCACCTGCCCTCCCATCTGCAGGTGGGGAGACCAGGGCTCCAGCATCCATGCTGCCCCAGGGGACACGCTGTGGTGGCACTACACAGGGCAGACCTGGGTCACCCACTGCCCTCGTCACCACCTTCCCATCTCCACTCGTTTTCATAGGATAGTAAGAACACGCAGGGACAGGTTCAGGCTCTCTGCAGGAGAGCCCACCAGAAGGTTCCACAAGCAACTGCAGCCAGAGGTGCAGCCCTGACCGCCAGGCCGCCTCCCAGCCCGGCCCCAGCACAGTGGATGCCTTGGACCCCACTATGAGGATAGAAGGTGGGCCAGAGGGCTCCCGCCCAGCCGGAGCACCCAGGGCCACTCAGAGCCGAGCCCCAGAGCCTGGGGGACCCACGGCCAGAGGCCAAGAGACAATTCCTCGCAAGCCCAGAGCCCAGGGGCTTCCACATCTTGGGGGCTCCCTGGCTGGGGAGAGACTGCCCCCCCCAGGCTAGCTCATTTCTAAACAGCAGAGGATTCCCCCAGCAGAGTTCGCCTTTGATATGCAAACCAGCCACCTCCTCCACCTATCGCTCACGCACCCAAGCCAATATTCCCCCCACCCTGAGTCCCCCCAGAGCCAGGTACTGGTCAACCAGAGACCACCCTACGATCCAGAGTCCTCGGAAATTAAACTTGCCTACCCCGCCTCGCCCGTTCCCTCCCAGGAAACTGCAGTCAAACCAAGCCCATGCCCTCCCTTGACCTATTGCCTCCTGATGGCCCAGGCGCTCCCCCCCCAAACCCCACCGTGTGGCCCCACGTGGCACGGCATGCCCCCTCGTCTTGGGATCTGTAATAAGCTTCTTGTCGTGTCTGTCTACTCACTGGCACCAAGGGGGAGGGACTGTGGACCACCTGAATGAGACTATGTGGCTGCAGCCCTAGGCCTGGGGTCTGTTTAAATGTGGTCACTGCTGCCAGACCTTACCACTCAAAAGGCAATGCCCAAGGGGTGAGGTCAACAAGCAACCCCAGGCCAGTGCCCACCTCCCCGGGACCCAGCTCCACCTGCACCCAGCAGGAGCCGGCAGAGCTGGACATAGCTACTGCCAAAGTGGGGTCCCCCAGGTGCCCAGCTCGCTAGTCTGGCTCTGAGCTATTGATGCAGCCACCTGCACAGTGCGAGTCCTGGTCTCCTGCTGAATATGGTGAATGCCACGACATTCCAGGGCCTTGGTTCTGGGTATACCCCCATCCCCCAGCCCCCGTCAATTCACTGATGGCTCCATCCTCTCGCTGCCTGAGGTGGGAATTGATGGATAAATTCCCTAGCTCCCCCTCTCTGGGCTGCTCCTGCTTCCTGAAATCACTTCCCAAATAAGCGGCCTGTCCTGGGGCTGACAACCTACCCAGTCGCACACCCTGTGCTCAGTTTAACAAGTTGCCATCACTGTCTTGAAATCCTTCACTTTGGAACAAGGGACTTGTTTCCATTTTGCATGGGGCCCTGCAGAGTCCAGGGCTGTGCTGCCTGCACCCAAATCCTTGCCTCAAGCTCTGCATTTGGGCAAACCCAAACTGGGACATGGCTTGCTGGTCCTTTCAGGGGAGAGACTGACTCCCAAGGATGGTGCCCAGAGCCACTGACGGGGAAGGCAGGTGGCTCAGAGTCCTTGGGGTTGGGGGCCAGGCAGTTGGGCTCAGAGTCCTTGGGATTGGAGGCTGGGCAGGTGGAATTCCTGGGAGTGGGGGTCGTGTGCCCTGCCTGAGCCACAGCCCCACCCTTGTGGGGGGGCTCTTTCCAGGCTTCCCTCCACAGACACTGATGGGCACCTGGCAGGCCAAGCATGCCCAAGGCGCCCTTCACGCCCTCAAAGAGCCAGAGGTAAAGGTAAACAGTAAACAGATGAGTTTAATTAAGTGCAACAAGTGCATTGCAGGTATGGGCTGCGGGGCTGCTGGGGCACGGATGGGCAGGTGCGGGGGCAGGTGTGGTGCCTCATGCCCTGGTCCGTGAGAGGCCCCTGCTCTCTGGCGCTGTGCAGTGCCCACCTGGCGGGGGTGGGCGCCGTCCGGGCAGACACAGCCCTTCCCTCTCTGAGAGGGACACGCAGGAGGCACTGCGGCCCCCAGGTTTGGAACAAACACATTTATTGCAGGAAAGGTGGTGGCAGGTGCTGGGGCGTGGGCACTACCAGGCGAAGAGCGGCTTGCTGTCCTCCTTGGAGAGATCACACAGGCAGTTGAGCAGCAGCAGTGAGTCACCCAGGAACTTGGGGGGCACGATGTCGATGACAAGCTTGCGCAGGGCAGCCGGGCTGCTGTGCAGAGGGTTGGCACGCAGATCAGGCCGTTGCTTCAGGATGCCATAGGTGTTGATGAGGAACTCGCTGAACACAGGGTGCACATCCCGGTTGTAGCCCAGCTTCTCCAGCCGTGCCATCAGTGTCAGGTAGCGGTGCGTCAGCTCACGCAGCTTCTTCTCATCTATGGAGCCGTCCAGGGACTTGACTGAGGTCTGGGGGCACAGCGCGTGGGGGTGTGGGATGGAGGCCGCACTGCAGCACCAGGCAGCTCTGTGCGACCCCACGGGGTCAGCTCAGATGGGGAAATTGAGGCCCAGAACTGCCCCCCCCCACACAGTTTCCTTTCCAGCGACAACGTCAGGAACAGAGTGGGAACCTCTCCACCTCTGGCACCCCAGGAGGACCGAGTCACACAAGTGCTCAAGAAGCTTTGCCTGGGAGCCACTCCTGAGTCTGTCCCAGCCACAAAGCAGAGACAGGCACCTGCAAAGACGCCCACGGCAGCAAATCTACTAACCCAATGAATGTGGCCACAGACACCCCTCAGGCGGGACCAGTCCACGGCCGCGCCCAGGCCTGAGCTGGGGGATAGAGCAGCAGCAGACCTTTCCCTGGGGCAGCAAGGGGGTTCCGTGGCGGGAAAGCACCTGCTTGATCTTCTCGGGGATGTTGGACACCGTGAAGCCATAGAGCCGTGTCACACCCGGGAAGACGTAGGCCAGGATGCGCCGGTCCAGCTGGAAGGCGATCTCCCCGACGATGCGGCCATCCTTCTCCACGCTGCTGAAGCTCTGGATCTCTGCGTGGGGGTGGGGGGGTGAGGCAGGCACCGTCCCGGGTCCCGGCCAAGGGCAGCTGCCATCCCCTGCCAGCCCTCCAGCATCCGTTTAGTGAGCAGGGTCTACAGCAAGGCCCTGGGGCCCCTCGTCCACACCCACTGATGCTGACGGGGGCAGCTCCCCCTCCCACCTCCACTCTCAAGGTAAATACGAATCTGAAAGAAAACTGAATTCTTTGGTACTGACAGGAAAGACAACTCTCCCCTTCTCCCTGTTCTTGGGGTGTTTCTCAGGGAAACTTGTGACCGCAGCTCCTCTCTCTGTACCTTTGAGATGAAATAAACCTTGTTAAAAGTGGGGTGAGCCTCTGGCCTGTTTCTGGCAAGGAATGTTTGGTGCCTGGCTCAAGGCGCGACCCCACTGGTCACAGAGGTACCCGCCTGTGACCGGGTGGATGGGTTGGGCTGGAAACAGGAGAGGTCGCCTCTGCCTGGTGAGAAGAAGGGGGATTCTTTCTGCCTTGGCAGCCTGCAGGCATCTCAAGCTAACATTTATTTAGTCATAAAACTCTCTTTCCACATCTGTGGAGAGGATTGCTGGGCTGGCAGGAGCTTCTATTTTGAATTATTTCCCCGCATTACTCCTGACAGGCTGACCAACCCCCGAAAACACCTGCTTCCGAATCCCCCAGGGTGCCCCTGAGGTCCTCACAGACATTCATTGGACAACAGACACATCAATGTCCTTCAGAACAGTTGAGAATAAGATATGTCTGAACTTGAGAGAACTCACAGTGAGAAAAGACCTGCCTCAGGCTCAGCAGACTAGCAATTCGCTCTGGACGCTTGGGGGCCAGGGACCACGTGGCCCCTCACCCCACCCTCTCTCTCCGGGTGACTCCACCCAAACCTCGTGGGCTGAGGAACCTGGGACAGCACAGGATGGGAGCACACGGCTCCCCCAGCCTGCGCCTGCTCAGGCTCATCCCTGCCAAGTCCTGCTCTTTCATCCCATGGGAGACATTTCTAAGTGCCCATTTCTAAACCTTTCCACAGCCCCCAGAACTTTTCCAAACACGATCCATGATCCTACCCCTCCTACGGTGTCCGCCGGGTGGGGTCCTGCCAGGTGTGACGGGCGTGGCAGCTCGAGAATGGGCAATGGGACTGTGCCAGGGAGGGGCACAGCGCATGGCAGGTCCTGTTACCTACAGACACCTGTGTCTACCCGAAGAATCTCAGTGCCCACACTCAGAACACCCCGCGCCATGCAGAGCGCTGGCTCTGACACCACCCACCCACACTGCCTGTTCTCTGTGACACTGGGGGTCTTTGGGCTGCTGCAGGCCAGGTTCTGCCATGACCTCAGGCAGCTGTTCAGCCTCTTCAGTTCCATCCTCTTCTCTGGAAGGTTGTTCACCCCACACCAGCATTTGTCGAGGAGGAGCCAGGCCCTATGCCAGGGGCTGGACCCACAGTGACCAGGGCAGCCCATGCTCCAGCAAATGAGCTGTGCATGTGAACATGGCTGCTTCCTACAGTGGCAAGTGAAACACCCAGGAGGGAGCCTGGACAGACAGGAGAACCGGGACCAGGTCCTGCCAAAGGTAGCACATCTGCGCTGTCATTCCCCAAAGTGCACTATATGGAATGTGCCCCTGCCTGGCCAGGGACAGAGGGGCTGGGTGCTCTCTGGTGTCAGGACGACAGCACCCACTCTCCTGCACAGATGCCCAGGCTCTGGATAGGGAGCCTGCAGCATCACGTTCCTCCAGCACCCTCCTGCTGTAGGAGATCTGGGCCACAGCCCAGAGGGAGGCAATGACCTTTGGCATCCTCCATGACCTTGGCTCTTTCCAGTCAAGAAGAAAGGGAGACTCTCCTGGTGAAATCCCTCCTGCAGCCCTGAGCATGAGACTCCAGGTAGCATGGCGAGATGGGTACTGGGAGCCCCTCAGGGGGCGGTGAGCGACCCAGGTCACTGGGAACCACCCTTGGCATCTGTTTCCTCCCTTCAGGAGCATTTTCTGGTCCTTCTGTGACAAGACTCATCCTCACGATGACCCTTTGAAGGGAGCCTCGGACCCCATCACAGGTGTGGAAACTGAGGCTTGGGAGGCACACTCCTTCCCCAGTCACTTAAAGACTTTTTATTAGAATGTAATTCACATACTATAAAATTCACCCTTTTAAAGCAGACAATTCAGCAGTTTTTACTATATTCGCAGAGTGCTGCACCAAAGCGCTGTCTGATTCTAGAGCACCGTCCTCACCAAAGCACCAACCTGCTCTTACAACAGTCACTTTCCACTCTTCTCCCTCCCCCGGCCCTCACCAGTCTACCTTCTGTCATGGTGGATTTGTCTATTCCGGGCATTTCATGTAAACAAAATCACTCAACACGTGGTCTTTTGTGTCTGGGTCCACTCAACACAGTGTTTTCAAGGTCCATCCCTGTAGAAGCATGTGCCAGGGCTTCATTACTGTTTGTGACTGAGTAATATTCCATGGTATGAATATACCACATTCTGTTTATACATTCATTAGTTAGTGCACTTGGGTTGTTTCTGCTTTGGGGCTACCATGAATAATGCTGCCATGAACATCCATGTAAAAGTGTTTGTGTGGACCTGTTTCTGTTCCTCTGGTATATGTCTAGGAGTGAAATTGCCAGGTCACATGCAAACTCTACATTTTACTTATTGAGGAGCCACCAAACTGTTTCTCAAAGTGGCTGTGCCATTTTACATTCTCATCAGCAGTGCCCAAGGGTTCCAGTTCCTCCAGCTCACACTTACTACTGTCCATCTTGATCGTTCTAGCCATCCTAGTGGGTGTGAAGTGGTCACAGCATGCTTGTGATGTGCATGTCTCTGATGACTAAGATGGTGAGCATCTGTTCATGTGCTTGTTGGTCATTTGTGTATCTTCTCTGGAGAAAGTCTATTCTAGTCCTTTGCCCATTTTAAACTGAATTGTTTGTCTTTTTATTGCTGAGTTGTAAGAGTTCTTATACATTCTAAATACTAGCCCCGTGTTAAATTCTTGATTTACAAATAATTTTCCCATTCTCTAGGTTGACTTTCCATTCTCTTGATACTGTCCTTTGAGGCACAGAAGGTTTTTACTTTCGATAAAGTCCAATTTATCCATTTTTCTTTTGTTGCTCATGCTTTTGCTATAATATCTAAGAATCCATTGCCAAATACAAGGTCATGAAGATTTAACCCTGGGTTTTTTTCTAAGAGTTTTATGGTTTTGGCTCTTTTAGAACTCTTAGATCTTTGGTTCATTTGGAGTAATTTTTGCATGTGATGTGAGGTAGGGGCCAGCTTCATTCCTTTGCATCCACTGTCCCAGCACCATGTATCAAAAACTATTCCTGTTCCATCAGATTGCCTGGGCATCTTTGTCAAACATCACACTATAACTGTATGGGCTCATTTCTGGATTCTCAATTCTGTTCCACTGATCTGTATGTCATAGTTCTACAGTAAGTTTTGAAGTTGGGAAGTGTGAGTTCTCCAGTTTTGTTGTCCTTTTTCAACATTGTTTTACCTATTCTGGATCCTTTGCATTTCCACATAAATTTAAGGTTCACCTTGTCAATTTCTGCAAAGAAGCCTGCTGGGATTTTGATTATTGATTATTGAACAGTACAAGGTCTTCTAATCTATGAACAGGAGATGTTTTCTATAGATTTTGGTCTCCTTCAATTTCTTTCAGCAATGTTTTATAGTTTTCAGTGTATTTATTTCCCAATCACTTTGCAAGGCCGCAGCAGGTACCCAGGAACTAAAGCTGAGAACCATCTACACTGCACAAAAGCATGTTAGGGCAGAGAAGGGGCACATAGGAGTAGGGTGCAACCCCCCTCCACCCCACCTGCTTCCATGTTAATGCATTTCTCTCATCAGGAATCAGTCTATCTCCACAACCCCCCCCCCAAAAGCATTAATTAGGCAGAAGAAACATGCTATACTGAGATGTTCTAGAAATCATTTCTAGCCCAACCTGGGCCCTACAAGATCCAACCAAAAACCTATTCTTCAAAGAAAAAAAATTAATGCAATTGATAAATCTCTAGCCAGATTTAGGAAAAAAGAGAAAGAAGACAAAAATTACCACTATCATAAATTAGGGATGACACCACCACAGGTCTTACAGACAGTAAAAGGATAATAAAGAAAGATTAGGAATAAGTTTACGCTGATTAATTTGACAACCTAGATGAAATGGACTAATTACTTAAAATATGCAAACTACCAAAGCTCAGTCAAGAAGAAATAGACGATTTGAATAGACTTGTATCAATAAAACAGGATTGGGCGGGGGACATCTCTACAGAGAAAAGTCAAGGCTCAGGTGATTTCAATGGTGAATTCTACCAAACATTTAAGATATAAATACCAATTCAACACAAACTTTTCTAGATAATTAAAGAGGAAGGAACACTTTCAACCTCATCCTTTGAGATCAACATTAACCTGATACCAAAACCAGAAAATGACATTATGAGAAAACTACAGAACAATATCCCTCATTGACAGAACAAATTCTTAACAAAATTTTAGCAAATTAAATCCAACAATACAAAAAAGTATAATACATCATGATGAAATGGGGTTTATTTCAGGAATGCAAGGTTGGTTTACCTTTCAAAAATCAATGTGATTTACCATATTAACAGACAACAAATGAAAAACAAGTGCTCATTTCAATAGATACAGAAAAAGCATTTGATAAAATCCAACACCCATTTGTGATAAATAAGCAAACTAGAAATTAAAAGGAACTTCTTCAACCTGATGAAGGAATTCTACAAAAACCATCACTAACATCACACTTAATAGTGACAAACTGAAAGCTTACTTCCAAATCATGAAAAGACAAGGATGTCCACTGTCACCACTTCTATTCAACACTGTTCTAGATGTTCTAGCCAGTGCAACAAGACAAGAAAAAGAAATAAAAGGCATACAAATTAGAAATAAAACAACAAACTTGTCTTCATTCACAAACAATACAATCATCTATGTAGAAAATTCTAAGGAATCTACAAAAAAAGCTAGTAGAATAAATAAATAAGTTTAGCAAGGTTGCAGGCTGTAAGCTTATATTAGTTAGGGTTCTCCAGAAAACAGAACCAACAGGATTGTGTGTGTGTGTATAAAGATATTTGTTATAAGAAATTGGCCCACAAAATTATGGAGGCTGACAAGTTCCAGGATCTGCAGTCAGTAAACTGGAGACACAGGAGAGCCTATGGTGTAGTTCCTGCCCAAAGGCCAAGACAAGAAACCAAGGAAGAGCCAGTGTTTCAGTTCATTTACAAAGGCAGACAGGCAGGAGGAATTTTCTCTTACTCAGGGGATGGTCAGCCTTTCTGTTCAACTGACTGGAGGAAACCCACCTATATTAGGAAGGGCAATCTGCTTTATTCAGCCCACTGATCTAAATGCTAATCTCATAGAAAAAGACCCTCACAGAAAACCAGAATAATGTTTAACAAAATATCTGGATGCCCCCTGGCCCAGCAGGTTGACACATAAAATTAACCATCACAGGGGTCGATATACAAAAATCAACTGTGTTCCTATATACTAGAAAAAAACATCGGAAATTAATACTGGTAAAAACAATACTTTATTATAGCAGCAAAATATGAAAAACTAAGGAGTAAATTTGATTAAAATGTGCAAGATTTATACATAAAAACCTATAAAAACATTGCTGAGAAAAACTGAAGACCTAAATAAACAGAGTTATACTAGTGTACTTCAAAAAGCTCATGGAAAGATTCATATTGTCTTTTTTTTGCAGCTGGCCAGAATAGGGATCCAAACCCTCGACCTTGGTGTTACAACACCTCACTCTAAACAACTGAGCTGACCAGCTAACCCCATATTGTCTTTTACTTCCATTTTTCCATGAACTTTTTGAATTACCCTTGCATAGTGTTCATTAGAAGATTCAATGTTATTAAGGTGTCTTTCCTCTGAAAATTGATCTAATTGATCTGTAAATCCTGGATAATCTCAATCAAAACCCTAGCAAGCTCTTTTGTAGAAATAGACAAGGCAATTCTAAAATTCATATGGAAATGTAAAGGACCTAAAATAGCCAGAACACAGACCGCTGCTGATAACAAACAAACAAACAATAAATAAAACAGCCAGAACAAAGGCAGACAGAAGAACAGAGCTGGAGAACTCATACCACCTGATTTACAGCCTTATTGTAAAGCTATAGCAACCATTCAGTGCATACTGGAATCAATATAGACAGACTGATCAATGGAGCCACATGGAGCACCCAGAAATAGACTCCCACATAGACGAACAATTGATTTATGACAAACATGCCAGGCTGTTCAATGGGAAAAGTATAACCTGTTCAAGCATTTGGTGTGGAAGAGGTGGACATCTATAGGCAAACCTCTTACCACACACAAAAATTAACCTGAGATTTATTGGAGGCCCAAATGTACAACGTAAAACTTTAAAACTTCTACAACATATAAGAGAATCTTTGTGACTTTGAGTTTGGCAAAGATTTCTTAAACTGGACACAAAAAGCATGAACTACAAAAGAAAAAAATCAGTAAACTGGACTTCATCAAATTAAACAGTTTTGCTTTTCAAAAAACACTATGAGGGCCGGCCCGTGGCTCACTCGGTAGAGTGCGGTGCTAATAACACCAAGGCCCCGGGTTCGGATCCCATATAGGGATGGCCGGTTCGCTCACTGGCTGAGCGTGGTGCTGACAACACCAAGTCAAGGGTTAAGATCCCCTTACCGGTCATCTTTTTAAAAAAAAAAAAAAAAAAAAAAAAACACTATGAAAATGGAAAAGTCACAGACTAGGAGACCTTATCTGCAAAACATATACCCAAGAAAGGACTCATATCCAGAAGATATAAGGAACTCGTACATTCAATAAGAAAATAACCAACTTAATTTTTTAAAAGAACTGGCGCAGCCCTGTACCCTGGCCTCCAGGCTGGCTCTTCTCTGCCCACTCTGTGTTGCAGGATGGAGAAGGTGAGCCCCCAGACATGGCCTCCCCCACTGCCAGCAGCACATACCCTGGTGCTCACCCTGTGCCCGGTCATACCATTGAGGTAGTAGCTCCTCCTGGTCCTGTCCCCAGTGGGCAGGCTGCTCTCCGAGAAGCACACCTTCTTAGGCCGGACCATCTCCCTGGCCTCCAGCAAGGTCTTGTCTGTAAGCGGGTCCTGCAAGGGGCTAAGGATTGGGGACAGCTTCCTGTCGGTGCTTCGGGGGGTGTGCAGCTCTGGGGGGCCAAGGAAGGCCTTAAAGGGTGCATGGGAGGAGGTTGCGCAACCCGGGGAGGCGTCGTCCTCGCTGGAGAGGGGGGCGTGTGAGCACAGGAGGTCCTCCAGGGAGGACGTCTGCAGCTGGGGTGGCGTGCCGGGGACACCAGTGTACCTTGTGAAATCTGGACCTGGGGCGGGGAGGAAAGGGACCAGAAGTCAGGCTGATGCTCCTAAAACTTCCCTGATTAGTGCAGAGAATACACTAACGATTCGCATACCCAACTACCAGCTCTGACACCTGCAGCATTTATCCCGGCTTCAGAGCCCTCCTGCTACCCCCCGCCCCCCGCCCCCTGTGCCTCGAGTGAAGGAGACGGTGATGGCATGGGGGAAGTGGTGCCCGCACCTGCCCGAGGGAGCGCCTGCCTCTGTTTACCAGCACAGCAAGTGTGCACACCTCCATGTGCTTCCGACCCACCTGTGCAACCACACACAAAAGAGTGACTTTTATATGCTTTTTGAATTTTACATAATTGGTATTATCCTATATGTTTTATTCTGCAACATACCTTTTTGCTGCAGCATTATCTTTTTGAGGTTTACTCACATTGAGTCATTAGCAGCTACCTCGTTCATGTAACTGTTTCTAGCACATGAGCACACACACATGTATACACTCAATGATTTTTTATCTGTTGCCTATTGATGAACATGGGGCTGTTTCCAGGTTTCATTGCAAAAGCAAAGCTGTGATCGCCTGCCTGGATGGGCCTTATCGTTCACAGTGAGAGCCTCCTCTGCAGCCCACACCTGGGCTCAGGTGTACGAGCGCACTTCAAAATGTTCATTAAAAAAATAGAATTAAAACATAATAAGAACCTTTCCATGAACTTTTGAAGTACCCTCATATGTATGTTAACCTTCCTTACTTTCCATGGTAGCCGTTCCTTGCCCACCGGCAGCTCCCAATCCCGCAGCCTCACCAGCGCCTGGTGTTCCCAGACCAGGCTGACAAAGTCATGTCTCACTTCCCTAATCCCTGGTCAAATTGAATTTACCTATTCCTTCTATGGCTTATGAAATTCTTTTCTGCCCCCATGTCATGAATTTATTCTCCTAGCAATAAAGCAAATATATATTTGAGAAATAGGGTTTTTTAAGAGCTATATCAAAAAATTATATCTTAAAATGTGCCTAAGCAAGAAACAACTAATCCGCTCCCAGAAATGTTTTGCAAGAAAAATAACAGTTTAAAAAAAGAACTGTCAGTATATGCCCTGCCTCCTGCCTGTGTGGGAGCTAAGTCAGTCCTTGAGAGCTGCCAGCCTCCCACCCTAGATACTTTTTAAATTACAAAAAAATTCTGTACAATCGTATATTAATTGAAAATTTCAATAAAAGGAGAGATCTTCTAGGAAATTATTTTTAAATGACTCAATAAGAAGTAGAAAACCTAAATGAACCAATAATCAAAGAAGAAGAATCTAAAAATACATAATTATTCCCCATAGGTCTGCAGGTCCAGGTGGTCTGTGGGCAAATTCTTTCAAGTTCCCGAACGATTCATAGCCGCCACATCCACCAAGGTTGGGGCACAGGAAACAACTGAAAGATGCTCAATGAAGGTTAAAAATTTGTCATCACTCTGGTATCAAATTCCTGCAAAGACAATCCCCAGAAACAAAGTGATAGCCCAGGCTCACACAGAAGCAGAGTCAAGAAATAACTGCACAGACCCCATCCAAACAGACACAGCAGGAGACAGCCATGTTGCAGACCCTGGTGGCCGAGCCCCTAGTGATACCTCACAGACATGTCCCTCCCCCAGTGTAGAATCAGGTCATAAACACTGAGTAAATGAACTGTTTCTCACTTTTTTTGGTCCTCACAAATAAGAACTCGAAGGCTCTTCCACAGCACCTCGCCTGTGCACCCCTCCCCACCCTAGGAAGCAGGGCCCTTTGGTCACTGCCCGCACCTGCTAGAAGGACCAGGGCATAGGCCAAACCCTCTCCCACTTCTCCTGGAGGAAGCCCCAAAATAGTCAAGGCAAAAGCCAAAGTTCTGAGTAACAAAGACAAAGACAGAAATGAGAAGTACCTGTGCTGTCTATCTCGCTTGAGATGATCATTTATAAACAACACAATTGTAGATTTAGAGAACATACAAGAACAAACTGGAAAACTTAGAATAAAAACAGCTAAATTAAAGCTGGATATAGGACAAATATTTACAAATCAACAGCTTTCCTACATATCAACAGTGATCACTCCAAAAATACAGTGGAAAAAGAAATCTCATCCATTATCACAACAAACAGCATAAAATGTGCAAGGAATTGTTATTAATTTGTTAAACTTATTAATAAATGTGAAAGATATATATATGAGAAATAGCTAAAGAGACTTAAGAGCCAGAATAGCTTAGTATGATTGCAATGCATGGAATCATCCTACGGATATTTGCAAGAATAAATAGGTAAGAACACCATAGAAAAATGTACCAAAAGAAAATTTACACCTGCTTTCTGAACCAGTGATTCTACTTTTAGAAAAATAAATCCTGGGCCGGCCCGGTGGCGCACTCGGTAGAGTGTGGCGCTTGGGAGCACGGTGGCGGTGCTCCCGCCGAGGGTTCGGATCCCATATAGAGACCAGTCCGCTCACTGGTTGAGCGCGGTGCGGCCACGACACCGAGGGTTGCGATCCCATTACCGGTCACGAAAAAAGACAAAAAGGAAAAAAATAAAAAATAAATAAATCCTAACGAAACAAACATAAAAATATTTTTTAAAAAACTTTTTGCTGTGTTGTCTATTTACATCAAGGGGAAAAAAGAACTTTAATTTCAAACATGAGGAGAATTCACCAGATTGTGGATCATCTGACTCTGGAATCCTGCACAGCTATTTTAAGATATATTTATGATAACACAGGAATAATCTTATGTCATGACGTTAAAGGGAAAAAGCGACCAAGAGTTGTGCACAGAGAATACTCACGAGTGCTGGTAATCACCCAACAGTCCACCCCCGCCACCACCGAGGACTAAGAGGACAGCTGAAGGAGCCACGCACAGGTGGCCCTGGTGTCCTCCAGGTGGCGATGTGGCTCTTCGAGATCCCGAAGGAAACAAGCAGTGGGGGCGTCAAGGAGGCGGGGAGGGAGACTGCACTCCCTCTGGTCACTCGCTTGCAAACTGAGTGAGGGAAACACCCCAAGAAGACCCTGACGGGAGGCCTCTCCGGCTCGTCTACCGGGCCAGCTGTGGACGTTCGTGGTGTGAGTGAGGGAAGATGATGGCATGCTGCCCCCTCCTCTGCTAGCTGTTTAAACGTTTCAAATACATGTGGCCTCTGACCCAAGGAACCACGTTTAGGGATCTCTCCTGCACAAGGTCACAGAGGCGCAGCAACACTGACTGTGCTCACTGAGAACTGGGAACAGTGTTGCCCGTGGCGGGTCCCAGCTGAGGGGGGCCAGTGTTGAAGTGCGTGGGGTAGATATACAGGAGAGAACTGATGGGGCATCGCAGCGAGATGGACAGTGATGGGGAGAAGTCATGCTGCAGGACAGCACCATCTGTTTAGGTGAACCAGAAAGATACCCAGACACACATACGAATGTCCATCAAAAGTTCCAAAGAAACCCAAGAAAAATGTGATGCTGCTGCCTGTGGGGAGGGGCCAGGAGCACAGGCCAAGCCCTTAATGTTCTGTGCTCTGTGGTGTCCATGCATTCACCTAAGCACATGCTACTGAGTAAGTAAGAAAAATAGGTATTTATCCTGATTTCAACACAGACTCTGAGGGACTCAGTGCTGCGTGGTGGTTCACTTCTGTTCATAAACTTCTGTTTCTGCTAGAACTCAGGCTGGTTTTCCAAACTCTAGTCCCTAAAGCCAAGGCTGTGCCCTGCGGGGGATGACCTGCTTGTGGGTCAAGGCCAGGTCTGGACGCAGTGCCCTCAAGCCCCGGGCTTGCTCCCGAGCCCAGTGCCTGCCCCACAGCTTCAAGGGGGTACCACACCCTACCCGATGGAGTGGCAGGGTTTGGAGGGTGGCCTTGTCCAGGCCTCCTGTGCATGTCCAGAGCTGAGCTGGCCCCCTCCCTGCTGCCCAGCAGACCTGACCCAAAGCCGAAGGCTAGCCGGGGCCCACGCTGACCTTGCCCATGCCCTGTGACTGGGCCCAAGGCTCTCCGTGGAAGGCTTGGTGGCCTTGGGCCAGGGTCCTGAGATTGGTGTCTAGCAAGATTTGGGCTTGCTGGGGACAGCCCAAGGGCAGAGGCCCTGGCAACAGTTGGGGAGACCAGCCCTGACTTAGACCCTGACAAAGGTCCCTCCAGGGACAGCATGACTTGAGCAAGGGTCCGCACCCCTCCTTTGCAAGACGGGCCCAGAGCTGTCCACGGCTGGCCTCATGGATGGCTGTGGGCCCTAAGACTCAGCCAGGCCTAACTCAACTCTTGGGGTTAAAGACAAGGAAGCAGCACTAGGTGTACAGCCCTCTGATGGTGGCCACGCATTGCTAGGCCTGGAGACAAGCACCTTTGCAGCCCCCACAACACAACAGTGCTGCGAGTGCCTGTGAACTCAGCACTGATACTTTGCAGGATGCTGCACGTGGCCCAGCACCAAGAGCGCCAGTCCCTCCAGCAAATGCCCTGGGATGAGCCTGTGGGGCTTCAGTGGTCACTGGTGGGGGTACAAGACCCAGGGCCTTGCTGGCTGAGCCGAGGATGCTGCTTCCCCCAACCCCCATCAGCAGCAGTCTCTGCCCCTCCTGGAGCCCACACCCTGCGAGGGGCCCCTGCCTGCCCGAGCTCCCTCTCCAAGGTCCCCCAAGACTCTAGGTGTTGCACTGCTGCGATGGAGCCCTTGCACACCAGGCATGTGCTCATTCACGGGCTTTTCACCCACGAGCTCCACGTAGGGGCCCAGTGGACTTGCTGCAGCACTGGTGGGCAGAGAACGCTTCTTCTCCTATGTGCTGTGCGTGCTCAGAGGTGCACACGCCCTGAGGACAGTGGCGAGTGCCCTCAGTGGACTCCGGCAAGTGACCACACCAAACACAGGTCCCTGGAGCTTCCCCTCAGCAAGCAGCTGACCCGGCCCCCCAGGCCATGGCAGGGGTAAGTCAGAGGCAGGAAATGGGTCTCCTGCAGTCAGCCAGGTGTGTAGGGGCCGGCACCAAGGGAAGGGCAGGCTGGGCCGGCAGTGAGTGGCCACCGCGTGCAGTGGGAAGCTGGGCTGATGGGTCATGGAGTCCTCAGACAGTGCAGAGTCGGGGGTTCTGTCCACTGTCCACCAACCCCACCAAAGACCAAGGTCACACCCATCAACCACAGCCCAAGTCACGTGTTATGGAAAGGGAATTTTTCCACAAAAACCTTTAAAACAAGCCATTACTTTTGTAGGAAGTTATCTGTAAAAAGCCATAGGTTGGAGTGGACCCTGTGTGGTGATTGGGATCGTGGCCCCACACTCCTGTGAGGAGAACCTGTCCCACCCTCTCACCCCAGCAGGGACTCTACAGGGTCCCCTGGGGCAGCACCTCCCCGATGCTGGGCTCAGCTACATGGCCCAGGAGGGGGACAGAGGCGCCCACAGCAGAGCAAGCTGCCCGCATGGGCCGGGCCGGGCCGGCCGGCTGGGAGGACCCAGGGGACCTGGAGCCTGGGAGCTCCCAGCCCTCCTGCTGCCTGGCGCCACCCGTGGCTCACCCACCCCACACCATTTTCCATGTGCTGACGCTATGGCCCTGAGAGAAGGGCTTTACCTGAGGACACACAGCAGAATGGGCAACTCGGTCTCGGTTTCCTCAGACCTGAGGGCGGGGAAGGGTGCCCAGGAGTACCCTGCCAGCAGGCCGGGCCTCCGCTGCCCACGACTCCCCCCCGCCCCAGCACGAGGCGGGCCGGGCCCGCTGTCCTCACCTCCGCTGCCGGGGGAGCAGGTCTCGGGGTAGGGGGTGGCCTTGAGGAAGAGGGGCTCGCGGCCCCCACGACTGCAACTGTCCGGGCAGCTCTCATTGAGCAGCCGCCGCAGCATCTGGTTTTCCTTCAGCAGCCGAACCTGCTTCTTCAGGTCCGCGTTCTCGCTCACGAGCCTGTTCATCAGCTCGCTGCCCTCGGCCATGGCGCCCGGTGCTCACATGCGGGCCCGTGGCCCCATGGAGGTGGAAATCCACAGCCCACGGACCACAGAAACAGCCCTCACCGCGGGGTTCCGCAGCACCCACTTCCAAGGCCTTGTGATGTCACCACCCTTAAAGCCACAGTGCCACCCACCGGTGCCCCCACCCTCACCTCAGACATGCCCCTGGTGTGGCCTGAGAAGCCAGAGGCCATGGAGTGCACGGGCAAGTGCCTCGCACCGCCGAGTGGGCCTGTGAGTGCCAAGAGAGTGCAGGGAGGGACACGGGCTACAGGGACGTGGTGACTTTGGGAGGAAAGCCCAAACGTGGGGACAGCATGTGCCAAGGCCCCCAACCAGAACATGCCAGATGGGGCAGCTGGGGGTGGGGCTCCCACACCTTGTGGCTCCTCAGGCTGCAGGGGGCTCTGCCTTCACCCTAAAGAACCCATGGGGCCGTCTCTCCCATGGAATGTGCCCACAAGACAGTGGGCCCCGTGCAGTTTTTCCTGACTCCTGGGGCTGGCACAGGTGCCTGAGGGCAGGCTGGTTGGGCCCCCCAGAACCTGGGGTAGTGTCTGGCTGTGGATGTCCTATGAGCTCACTCTTGGGAGCTTGAGGGTGGGGGCAAGTGGGGGCAGGAGGAGGCAACCAGGATGGCAGCCCCCCGACAGCCCCACAGCCCCAGGGAGCTCTGGGAGGGCCCTAGAGGGCTGGCAGGGAAGGCTACCTACTGACCACCTCTGCTAATGCAAAGGGCCCGGGCAGCACATCAGGGCCAGCACACAGACCATGAGTACTGAGCGTCTGAGACACCAGCCGCTGCTACAGTAACTTTTCCTAACTGGACCCAACTGAAGATCCCCCTCCTCCCGCCAACGGAAAAGGGACCCTCTGGACCGGTCACATGCAGACCTGTGCTCACAATCTCACTAGGTGCAGGCCTCTGTCCTCACCAGTGTGACCTCCACAAAAGACACCTGGCTCCCTGCTCCTCTGGCTGCTT